GCGTCATCTCTTCTCAGTTTTATTTGATTGCCTTTTGGAGATGAGGAGATTAATATTTCATCAAACATACAGGGAATAAATAACCAGATTTGAAAGACATCCAGAACCTTTCCTGCCTTGATGGGCATTTGCAGACCTGAGGAGTGGGGAGGTATTTTTATCACAAGCTATTTCTGAGGATGTCACAATCCTTGCCACAATCTCTGCAGGACATTTCCACTACCCATGACATGTCCATGTCCATGATGCTGTGGGGTTATGCTGAAAGGTGTGAGTTCAACACTCTGGAGATGCCCATTCCTCTGTGGGACAGAGGGAGGGCTCAGCCTGGACAAAAGGAGGCTCATGGGGGACCTTCTGGCTCTCCACAAATCTGACAGGAGGGGGCAGCTGCTGGGGTCAGGCTCTTCTCCCAGGGAACAAGAGACAGGATAAGAGAAAATTGCCTCAAGCTCTTGCTAGGGGAGGTTCAGGTTTGACATCAGGAGGAATGTCCTCATGGAAAGAGCTATTAAGCATTGCAAGGGACTGCCCAGGGAGGTTTGGAGTCCCTGTCCCTGGAGGTGTCCAAGGAACACCAGGACATGGCACTCAGTGCTCTGGGCTTGGTAACAAGGTGAGGATGGGGCACAGGTTGGACTCCATGGTCTGGGAGGTATTTTCCAATCTTATGATTCCATGATCCATGCAAGAGCCTCTGTACATCCTTGTACATCCATGGAACTCATGTGCATCTGTACAACAGCCAATGCAGCAGAATTGTGATGGGGCCTGTGCTGCCAGACCCAGCCACAAAGGGCTCAAAGCTGACAGGGTTGTGCATCACACAGTGTGTGAAGACAGAGCCACTTTCCGCTGGTGCTTTGGTGGGATCAGTTTCCAGAATAAAACCATGGAGTTTTTCCCAACCACAAACCACTGTGATCTGTTTGATGGGAAATGCCAGCTGCTGGTTGGGAAATTTCAGTTGACTTTGCTTTGAATGAGAAAAATAATAATTATGACTTTTATTATGATCAGTTTAGCATTCTGCCTTGAGGTTTAATTAGCTGAAGAACAAAAGCTTTTGTGTTTCTGTTCTATTCAAAATTGACACATCCTTCCAAAAGCAATTTGAAAAACACTTTTAAGAAATTTGGGAAGCAAATGAGAAATTCAATTAGATCCCAGATCTTTGTGGGTTTCCTTGAGTTGGCTTGTTTTAGTTTGCAGTTGCCATGTTTTTGTAAATGTGGGATCTCCTATGAATGCACACAGTGTGGGAAGAAGAAATGGCAGGAGGGAATTATCTGTGTAAATGAAGGAATCAGTCACTTGCTGCACTGAGCAATGAATCAGAGTAAACCCAGCTCCATGTGTCTGAGTTTTCCTTCTCCCAGCAGGACACTAGTTTGTCTTCCTGCATGGACAACTTCTGCATCTCCAGCAGTTTGATGGGACTAACAGGGATCTGAAGTGTCCAGAGGCCACCCAAGCATTTTGTAAGGCCTTCAAGACCAAGAAAATCTGCCAGCACAGCTCTAAGGTAATACTCACTAAATGAGCTTGGTAACAATCTTTGGTTTCCTTCCTGCAATGTTTTCAGTGGAGCTGTGGCTTCAGCTTTCCTGCTCTTTATCTCAGACCAGCTGTGAGACTTGCAGGGGTGAAGCAGGTAATACAGAGTGGTCAAATACAACAGGGATAACCACATTTGAGGTATGATTATACTATGTGGTGAGCAGGAATGAGGGAAACGTGATCCCAGCAGCCACTTTCTTTTGTCAGGCAGAGTTTGAGAGCGTTTTCCCCTCAGTGCAGGTCTAGGAGGAGGGAAAAGGACACAGGACAGAAAATCTGGAAACTAATTTTAAAAGCAGGGCAAAAAACAAGTCTCCTGGGAGAAACTTAATGTGTTGGGTTGGATTTTTTCTCAGCCTGCAGTTGCTAACACAGCCCCACGTGCTGACAGCCTGTCCTCCCCCGAGCAGCGCCCGAGCATTCCCAGCTCCACTCGACCTCCTGGGAAAGAAACAGTCCCAACACACAGGTGAGGAAATCGAGGCACACTGCTGATCTCAGCTGGGATTTCAGCTGAAAAACCAAACCTCACCCTTCCACCAACCTGACCTAAATGTCCAGGAAACTGAGGATTATTTTCTCCTACAGATGTCCCAGCTGGAAGCAAAGCCCTGCTACCAGTGCTCCATGTGAGAAGCAGGGATGCATTTCCCTGCACCCTTTCAGTGCACGGACCAGTCTCATCCCTATAGTGCAGGAAGGACACACAGAGTTTTCCCAAGCCAGGGGAGGGCTGGCTGCAGGGACAGGGTAGGAGCAGGGCAGTGGTGTAAGTCCCACAGACAGCCCCAAAGTGCAGCTGTAATGGAGCTTCTCAGACACAGACCGTCAAACCACGTGCAGTTACATAAAATAATTTACCAAAGGCAGATAAGTTAGACTAAACCTTTCCCCTCCCTCCTTCCTGGAGATCCGATATTTCTCTTCATTGTCTCCATCCCTAATACCCATGTCCCACGTCTGTCTCTGCACCGCACCGAGAAGTTTGAGATTAACCATGACGAATGAACTGATTTCCATGTCTTAGGGACTGTTCTGTTTTTTCTTTGCCGCATCTGACAAGTTGCATTTTACTATAAATCCCCTCAATTAGGTGCTTCAAACAGCACTGCAGCCTTTTCCCTGATATATGGGGAAGGAATTATCTTCATATCCCTGGCAACCAATTCCTTAACTAAAAATGCTTAGTGTTCACTTCTGCCTTCCCTGCATCACCTCACACTTAAGGTGACACACCTGAACACACCTGCTCACACCTGAGCAGAGCATGGCCATCCCACACGTCCTACTTGGTGGCTGTGGGCACGCTGTGATGGTGAAAGACAATCCTTGGTCTTTATGTGAGAATGAGGTCTCTGATACTTCCCATTGCAAGGTCCCTTCTGTCCCCTGGGTGCACTAAGCCCTGAGCAGCCCCCAAAACCAAAGTTGTTTTGTGACCAGGAGCCATGCCCTAGACCTGCAATGGTAGAAGGTGTCCCATGGCAGGGGGTTGGGACTGCATGATCTTCCAATTCAAATCATTCCATGATCCTATGATGCACTCAGTTGAATCCAGGATGCTCAAAGTTATTGGGAGCAAGCTTTCTCAAGCCATTTTTAGAAAATTCTGCATTTTCCATGGGCTGATTGAAGTGAGAGGTAACACAAGGGTGGCTCTGGAGCCTGTCTCATCCCATACTTGTCACGGGAGGGATGTTAAGAGACCTCAGAAACAAAAAGTTTCCTGAATTTACCAGAGCTTTATATATTTTCAGATTTCTTTGCCAAAGCAGTGACACAATTAATTTAACCCAGCTAATGCCAGAAGATTTATGTCTGTGTTGTTTATTCCCCTTAATTACTGGTCTGGGAACATTTACCCTTTGGGGGCCAGGATGGGTCACTGGGTGCCCCCACACGCTGGGGCACAGCCCTGGCCAGTCCTTCTGCCTTGGTCCTGCAGCTCAGGGAGGACCTTGATCCCCTCCTGCCCTCTCAGGTGCTCCAGAGACAAAGAGCAGCTCAGTGAAGATGGATGGAGGCTGTAGCCATGAATTCATCAAGAAACACTGCCCTCCTATTGATCCATTTGCAACCTGCTGTGGTCTGCAGCCATTCCCAGAGGCAGAGGCTGCAGCTGGGAGTGCGACCCAGCACCCCATGAGAGGCTGGTGGTGGATGAAGCATCATCAGCTAAGGGAAATATCACACCCCTGGATGGTGGTCCCATGGCAATGTTTTCCAGCATCTCCCCTCCCAGCAGTATCTCATGGATCCTTATTTCTTCAAGGAAAGAAGGAAGCACAGCATGTTGTCTCTCTATCTGCCCCGGGTCACCTCAGGCTGATGGAGCTTGGCTCACTCCCAGGATAGGCGCAGCACCCGCAGCTGGGGCACCCCCTAAACCTCAGTGAGTACAGAAGGCATGTTCTGAAACTGCCCTGGCATGGGGGAGCAGGTTTAACCCAGCCACAAATTCATCCAACTCAGGGATGGACCCAATCCTGACTATGGCAACCCCAAGAGACAGGGGTGTGTGGAATCCCTCCCCAGGAGACCAGGGAACGGCTGCCAGGGGACTGCAGGAGCTGAGACACAGAGGTATGACAGGACACCCTTTAAAGCCTGAGGGTTATGCTAGGGGAGAAGGGAAATGTCATTGTCCAAGACCTCAGGAGCATCATCTAGGCTCTCCCACACCACCGTCCCCCACCCTCCCCAGGACACTTGTCCTCCCCCTTCTCTATCAGTTCAAGCCCCCCCTGCTCCTGCCCCATCACCTCTGCCCCTCCCAGCCTACGGGACAAAGCGCCATGTCAGCAGCACTCCACCTCCTCCGGGTGCGCCCTTACGATCAAACACCCCCGCACAGCCCTCTGTGTCAAAGACCTGCATCCACCTGCCCCACATCCCCGTCCTTCCCTCAGGAGCATCTCCCTCACAAGGCAGGGCTGAAACCCCTTCCACCCCATCCCTGTGGAAGAGAAAAGGGGCTCTGCCCTCCCTTCGTGTTCACCATCCGTTTTGCAAAGGGGCTGCAAAGGCTGACAGGGGAAACCTGGGGGTAACTGGGAAACTTGTCCCAGTTCCTCTGACACAGCCCTGGAGCGAAATGCCCAAATGCATAATACCCACTCATCCCCTCATCCCCGGCAAATCGCATCCCCAAACCTTTTGCAGACACCAGGGAAGCCCCTAGGCTCCGCAGGAGAGACCGCACAGCGTCTGCACGATGGGAGTGAGAGGGGTGGAGAGAGAAACCCCCCTCCAAGGAGAGCCGGGAGGGCGGTCCCTGGGCCGGTGGGAAGTTTCTGCTGCTGAAGATGCTGAGGGAGGGAAGGAGAAGGGGGGGGGGAAATCAAATCGAGTTGGAAGGCACCAGGGAGGTGGGGAAAGGAAAAGGGGAGGAGGGAGAGGAGGAGGGAGAGAAGGGGGAGTGGGAGGCTGGTGAGGAGAGATGTAGCCCATCGCCAGGCGAGCTGGAAGGTGGGCAGCCGGAGGACCGGGGAGGTTATAAAAGGCAGGACGGGGACGCAGCCTCCGCGCAGCTCCGCGGGGACCAGCCAGGCTCCTTCGCTGCAAGCCCAGAGGATTCTCTCCCCGACGGCAGAAGCAGCCCAGCAGGAGCGGGGACGCTGCCAGCCATGCCTCGGGGAGCTGGGCGCAGGGGCAGCTGAGGATGGTGCCCGGCCTGCGTCCTGCCCCCCTCCTCCTCCTGCAGGTAAGATGCTTTAAGTCCTTTTCTCCCATAAGGGCCCTTCTGCCCCCTCCCCATCACCTCTGCGCCGTGCATCGCCCGCGTTCTCCTCGGTGACTTTTCAATTTCTTTGAAGGGAAAAGTAAAAAGAGAAACCACAACGCAAAGGGGTCTCGGGAGAATTCCTCCAGTCGAGGCACTGGGGCTTGGCAAGAGCTCGTGATGCTCAAAAACTATTGGGGAGGGGGGCTGAAGTGAGTGAAAGGATCATTTAAATGGGGAGAAATTGCAGTCAGGTCCTCCTGAGCTCAGCCCAGGGCTCCCAGTAGCTCGCAGCCTTGCACCTCCCAGTGAAACCAGCCGCCACCAGTTTCCCAGGCTGCTGGGAGGGGGTGGCCACTCTGGGGGTGTGATGGATGTGGACATTGCAAATGCAGAGCCCAGTTGTAGTCCCCATAATTAATTTTCTAAGGAACCCTCTCCTTTACTGCCCTGCACCTGCAAAGCACAAGACTTTCTCTCTAATTTGCTCGCTGTGGAACTGTAGCCACTGCTAATTTTGCAGCTCTGCACAATATGCAAATGCTTTGTCAGAAGCAATATTCCTCCTCCTTGAGGGCTCATCAAGGAGGGAAATGTTCACAGCCCAAAGCTTTTTTAAATCCCAAACCCTGGACAAACGAGATGAAGGGGTTTCCAGTGAAATCCTGAATTTTACTTAAACAAGCCTATAGTGGCAGTTAAACAAAATGATCAGGTTTTTGATAAAACCTCAGTGTCAAGGAGGGGAAAAAGAGCAAATCTGCCTGGCTGGCTGCAGAATGGTGTCTCAGTGGCCCAGCTGGGACCGCAGAGTTAAAACAGCAGGTAAAGTGGAGGGATAGCCCTCCCCATTGGCACCGTTATGGCTCATACCCTCCGGGCTGTGCACCCCACTATTCACCCCACTGTGCACCTCCCACATCAGCTGCATCTCTGGGCCAGGAAAGTTCTCACCTAAATGATGAGAAGAGCTGATGTGCACCAGGATACCCCCTGCCTAGTTGGTGCTGCTTCTAAAAACTCTTCTCCTGAGCAGCTGCTCTCTCTTATTGCGGCAACCCACTAACCCTGATTGATAGGATTTATGGGAGCTCTTTTGCTGTTACATTCCCTGGTTCAGGTTTTGTTTGGTTCTGATGCAAGAAATAAAGGTGAGACAGGGCAGGATCTTCTCCCTCAGCCCAGGTCCTTCTTGCCCAGTCTGTGGAGACAGCACAAACCCAGTGCAGTAGGGTCATGTTCTGGTGGGGACAGCCATATGAGCATGACAGCTCCTAATAACCTTGGTGAGCAAAAAGTGGTCCAAAAGAAGCCCAAAGGTGCTGAGACACAGCTCCCATCCTCTGTCAAAGCTCCTTAGGCTCAGGGGACTCTCTTGCCATCCCCAGGTGTTCCCCAAGGATATTCTCCTTGTGAAGGTGGAGCAACAAGTCCTCAAAAATCTTCCAGAGTTTGAGACAAAACCACCCCTGTGCTGGGGCTGGGACCAGGATGGGGGGGTCACAAAAACTAGACCAGACAAAGAGAAGCCTCTCCCAGCTGGCTTCAAAAAGAAACAGCCAATCTACAACCATCCCCCTCTTTGCAGTCAAGCTGTCTATTTTTCCTTATAAATACATGCATTCAAAACTCAGATGCTTTTCCAGAACAGTCCCAACCCTCTCCTGGGGACAGCATGGGCTAAAGGACGATGAAACCCCAGCTGTGAGTGCATCCCTGCAACCAGGTGTACCTGGATGCAGCAGCATCCTGCCTGTGAGTGCAGAGACCTGCAGCAGCCCAGCTCCAACCCAGAGCTCAGCAGGGACAAACCTCCCCTGCAGACAGTGGGTTGGCACAGTTGAGGGGTTGTTCCCCATGCACCTGGCTTGCACCTCCACTTTAGCATTGGTTTGCCCATGTTGCTTTACGAATAGACATCGCTCAGGAGGTTGGACAGACAGACTAGGAGACAAACTTGCTGCCAAGTGCTCCCTGGCACCCTGCAAGTCATTAAAACAAACGAAAAAAGTGATTCAAAATAAACCAGTCCACCTGCAGCTCTGTCAGGAGCCAATTACATTTCTGGGGCTGATAAAACTGCAAAAGAATTTCATGAAAAATCGGGGATTGATGATGAGGATGGGATAGTTTCCCCTCTCCTCTCACTTGATCACCTCCAGCAGCAATAAGCCCAAAAAACAGCCCCCGCCCCTTCCATGCTCAAATCCTTGCATAAGATGCAGTGCTGCAGTCGCAGGACGTGCTGACCCTGGGGATCTCTTCCAGTCCTCACTTTCCTTAAAAGCTGGAGTTGATTCAGTGTGTATGAAATCATCCCTGTGGTTTCGCATCTCCAGCAAAGAAGTGAATGGAAAAGGCACAGCCTGTTCCCAGAATAGCTGCACTGTCACCATAGGATGTATAGGAATACAATCAGAATATCCTGCACCACCAGCTCAACCCTGCCCTGAAATTCAGCTCTGCTCACCCAAAATCTTGCACAGGGTTAGCCTAGAAGTTCATTGTGAGTGACAAGCTCAAGCTGCAATTGAGTCTGCAGTGTTCAGAGAGGCTGCATCCATGACTTTGTCTGTGAGAACAGTTTTTGAACCCAAAGAAAGCACAAAGCAACCCCCAAATCACAGAGTTCCCTCACAAAGCAGAGCCCAGGAGCCATTGTCCGACACCCCAGAGCTGTCACTCAGGAGAGGGTGGCTCTTTCTGAAGATGGAATAACATACCCGGGGCCCATCTGTTGTTTTTCCTTTTTTCCCTAACTGCATTCTGAGCTATGAAGAGACCCTCCTTCTCTGCTTTATCTACAGTCACCCTCCTAGGAGCAGTCACCTCCATTCCAATGGCCAAGGGCAAAGTGTTTTGGTATTTTGCAGATCACAGTCCCTCTTCCACTCCGAAATCTGGACTGTCCTGGAAAAAGCAGTGGCAGATGCAGCTTTGGTGTGGCCAAACTTTCCTGAGCTGTGAATGTGAATAAACCAGAAAAAAAATTATGGGGAATTGAATTGTGCATGTTCAACCCTAAAAAGGTGATGGGTGAAGGAGCGGGTTTGGAGCAGTCAAGATGAGGGTTTTGGGACAGAGCTGGAGGGGAAAATGTCCAATCCCAAACTGAAAATATCTGTCAATGCACAGGAGTTCCACATGTACAATCTGCACAACAGTTCAATAAAATTGCCTTAGAAAAACAGCCCTCTCCAGGCTTGTGTCCATCACTCCAATTTTCCTCAGCAGCCTTTGCCCCTGCAAATCCAGATCCCATAGGAGCTGCATGGATTGCGTGCCCTTCTCCAGCTTGATGATGCCTTTAGCTTCCAACACCCAAATGCCATTAGTCATTTTTTCACCTGTCCCCAAAAATTCATGTCTCTCTTGACAGATAAATGAAATCAGAATTATTTATGGCAAGCAAGGGAGACCTGAGCTTAATCCAGGAAAACCTTTAATTGCTCATAAATCAGTTTTTACAGGGCATTCATTTAGTCCTGATTGATATTCTTTTGTTAGAATCTGCATCCAGCACACTTGGAGAGAGACTCCAAACAGAATAAACATTCTCACCAAAGCTCCTGTTTACACACCACAAGGACTGGCCCTCTAATACAGATAAATTAATAAACTCACAGATTTTAATGCCAGATGGAGGATGGAGATGTTCTCACTGCCTGCTCTCCCCATGAGTAACACTAGCCATGGAAAATCCCCACACGAGCGTTGCTTTAAGCCTTGTTCCATTGCCTGAGCTTTGCCTTGATGTCTCGATGATGGCAGGGCTTGGAATGGGGCTTTGGAAGAGAAATGAAGGAGCAGTGGGGGCTTGGTAGGGCAGCGAAGGGACTTGGAGGAACCCTGAGGTCATGGCTGGCAAAGCAAGCTACTGCCAGGTCTAAGACAAAGGTGTAAAGAGCATCCTTCATGGACCAGATGCTGCCTGGAGATTTCATTTGGAAATTGTTCCAAGCGAAAGCCCTCAAGGTGGAGCAGGTAAGAAGCTCCTGAGCTGCAGGAAACAGTGCCTGGAAGCCAGACGAGACAAAGGCAAAGAGATCCCCTGCAGTGAAGGCAGGAGACACAGGGGTTGGAGGCACCTCCAAGCACATTTGAGGGCAGCTCTTTCAGTCAGGCAGTTGCAGGCCACCTCCAGCCTCCAGCTGCAGTCCTGGCAGGATGTGCTGCTCCCTCCCCACTCCACTGATGCTGCTCTGCCATCTGAAGTTGGCATCGAGCTCTTTTAACACTCACTGTATTTAACACCCAAAGTCTGGCACCTTTTGCTGCAGGCTCAGAGCCAAGAATAGGCTCCATCCCAGCCTGATGCCCTGGGGAACCTCAGCAAAGGTCCAGGGCAGTAGCTGCTCAGCCCTTCCCTGCCCATGTATTCCAGGAGGTCTTTCCTCTTCCACACCAAGTGCTGTAGTGGGCAGCAAGCCCATCCAAGGCAGGGAGCAGAACTGATGGGTCAGAGAGGTCCCTACAGCAAGGACAACTCCAGAGTGGATGGTGTTGTCTCCCCTCCCAGGAAGGTCACAGAGGCCACCACTGTCCACTGCTCCCACTGCCCTCCCCAGCTCTGTGCAAAGCCCCTGTCTCCCACAGCTTCATCCCAGGCTTCAGTCCCGCTAATCGCTCAGCTTTCCAATTACAGCTCCTCCTCGGCACTGGACCTCCTAGATTGCTAATTAGGCTACAAGCCATCTATCTCGTGCTCAGAGCTGTCAGCCCTTCCTGCCGTGCAGATCCCCTTTTTTCTGAGGCAACATTATAGCGGGGGTGGGGGGGGACACATGCTTGTCTCTGGGTAGCACAGTGCAGGGGGGGATACTGCAGTTGGATGTGAATGTATTAATTAGTATCCATGGATTGCTTGAGAGAGCAAAAGCACCACAAGGGGACATTAATTTCTAATTGTTATTAATTGAATTTTTCTGCCAGGTCAGTGGCAGGTCACAGAGACTGACACCATGTGTGTGTGATTGTGCTGCTCACCCACACAGCAGCAGCCAGACTCCCAGTGATGATGAGCTGATGCTGTCCTAGTCCACGATGTTGCATCTCCTGACCAGGGGACCTGCCATCGTCACAGGCACAGGAACAGCTGGGTTTTTTTACAGCCCTGGCAATACCAGGACGTGGTTGGTGTGTCCAGATTGCAGAAATCTGTCCCATATGGTGCCGCACAGCTTGAGTGACCTGAGGCAAGTGGTCCTCAGTGCCTCAGTTTCCCCTCTGGGACAGCCCTGGCATGGTGGGTGGTGGGACACCAACCACCACAGATGTTTGCTCTGTGCGGGATGCAGGAAACATGGGAGCAGTGTCAGGGTTTTGTGTCTGAGCTGTGCAGTGAGGACTGGGGGGGCTGGTCCTGCTACAGAAAATGTGGGGATGAAAGGAAGGAGCTGGTGCTCCGTGAGATCCAAGACTAAACCAGAACGATCTCTGTGTATAAAACACGGATGTTACAGAGCCTGGAAGGGATCTGGGCAGATGCTGAGGCAGCAGCAGGGGAGACAATGGTGGCTCCTGATGGAGAAGAAGCTGCTGCCAGTGCGGGCACCCACGGGGTCCGTGCAGCTCCTGGCAGAACCATCATCCGTTTCTGTGGGAGCAGCTCCCCTGGCTAACTGGGAGCACTGTGCAAAGTGGCTGCTTCCAGAGGAGCAGATTGCCTTCCTTCCCGGACAGCTGAGAGCTCAGCTGAGGCTCTCCAGGATTTTGGCAGGCTGAGAGAGGTCACAGAGGTGTTCCTGCCTGCAGAGCGGGATCTGCCATAGCTGTGTGAAGGCAGGGTCGGGAGGGCGGAGGAACACGGCCCCTCTCTGGTCCAAGTACGACCCACTGCCGTGTCGGGGCTCTTGAGGTGAGCTTGGCTCCAGCCCGGCCAGGCTGGGCCCTGCTGGGCACCATGTGGCATCTTACAGAGCAGCAATGCTCTGGCAGCAATGCTCCTCAAGGACAGAGCTTTGACCTGTTCTCTCTGTAAAAGCACGGGGAGGAGTTGCACTAACCCACAAAGAGCAAAACAGATAAGACGGCAACCAGTAGTAAGAATTTTTTCACTGGGGCAAATTCCCCTGCAGCTGCCACCACCCCTGCTTATTCCCCTCAAAATGCTGACAGGAGTGGGACAAAACTCTGCCTCTATCAAGAGCTTTGGCCACACTGCAGAGCCTGGTAAAAAAACTCTTAGTATTAGTTGTGTTTTGGGGATCCTTTTTTCCTTTCTTTCTTTCTTCCTTCTGTAGCTGTTTCAGCTCATTTACAAAGCCTGCAAAGAGCCAGTGACTTCTCTATCCACACTCCTCTCTGGCTGTGGCTTGGTCCATGTGCTGTTCAGTGCCAAGACCTCTCCCTGTGTCTGGAAGGAGAATGGGCACTACCAGGCTGGAGCAGGCTGGGATTAGGAGAAACACATCCAATTAACACTTGAAAGCCTATTCAGATAGACAAACCATCCCAGACATCTTTTGGGCAGAACGCTTGTGTCCCATCTGCCAATGCCAAGAGCCAACAGGTGTGGTGGGTACCAGCTGTGGGCATCAACACAGAGGGGAGCAGACTCCCTACACCTTGATTCCTCCCCGTCTGGAGTCTGGGTGGTCTCAGCTTTCTGAAAGGAGACTCAGGAGGTGCTGGGCTTCTGTAGGACCAGCACCCAGGAGCTCCAAGCAGCTCTTGCACCAGGGCAGGATTGAGCTGCCGGATCCTCTGTGCCATCTGGAGCAGTCACAACAAGGCAGCTATTCTCTCCTCCATTTATACGTCTGCCTAACATCTCTCTTGCTGTCAAAACCAGCTTCCCAAGGCAGTAAACAGTTATTTGGAAAAGAGCAAGTGGGTGCTGAGCTTGTCTCTGTGTCTGAATAAATCCTGTTAATGCCTTGGTAAAGCATGAGGATGGCTGGGTATGCCAGCAAGGGCAGACAGTGTTTCTACGGCTCAAGGACAAGAGGAGGAATGTCTTCTCTGTGTTCAGAGCAGTTTGGGCGGTAAATGGCACGCAGGAAGGGGGGTCAGGCAGTAGGAATCAGCCTGGTTGATGGGGAAGGCAAAGGTTGTTGTCCCCAAGGAGCTGGGAGCTTGCCTGCAAGCAGGGGAGGTGCAGCCCTTCCTGCCTTCAGGCTCAGGGTTGTTTCCCAAGGGATCTGTATGTGATGTCTTTTGGGGCACAGCTCTGTCATTTAATCAGTGACTTTTCTCCAGGGGGTTTGGTCAGTTGCTGAAGGTGAAAGAAATGGAGTTGATCCTCATACACCATTAGTGCTGGTGGAGGAGAGGGGATGAGCCTGTGTCACCCTTTTCTACAAAATATCAGGTTCCCTCCTTCCCTCACCTGGCACCATGGTGACCTGTGAGACCAACACCACCATCCCTCTGCCATCTTTGCAATCCCTTCATCCTGGCAATTGCCTTTCTCACTTTTAGTTTCCCCAAACTCCTGCAAAGGCACAATAATTCAATAATCATTTTTCCAAAATAGCTCCTTGTGCAGAGTTTTAGCAGAGCTGGGTAAATCATGATCAGTGCTTTCCAACTCAATGGGAACGTTGGTGTTTGCTGACAATTCTCCTGAAAAAAAAACACTTCAGCCAGAGCTGGTTGTCTGTGGATCAGATCTCCTTAAGGATGTGTATGAACCTCTTCCCACTGACAGCTTACAAGGCTGTGATTTCAGTAAGGGATTGAAAATCCAGGCGTGGTGTCAGGCTCATCATGTTTCCCCTGTCTGCTCTCAGGATTGAAAGATGGTAAACCCAAAAGTGTTGATTAAAATGATAAATAGCAGAGGTTCCATGATTCATCAGGGGCTTCAGAAGGGCTTTCTGAGGGGGGTATTCAAGGCAGGAGAAGATCAATGGGTGGGGAACAGAGTGCAGTCCCCCAGCCTTCGGCTCAGATAAGCACAGTTTCCCTAGGAAGCCATCCTGTCAATGGTACATGTCCATTGTGCAAGCTTTGGGGTGGTACCCACCCAGACATGGGCAAGCTCAGATCTGACCCAAGGAGGCATTTGGGAATGGGGAAGCAGCATATTGCACATATAACCCCACCCCTGTCTGCTCTCTCCCCATCCAGGCATTTCTCCTCTGGGACAGCCAGGTTGCAGCCTCCATCCAGGAGCAGTACTGTGAGAGCCTGCCGCCTGTCACCAACCACACTGGTGAGTGTCCCCCAGCCCACCTGAGCCACCCCTGGGGATCCCGTGCTTGGAAGAGGGTGTCAGGGGTGTCTCTGGGCTCATCTGCTGCTGCATGGATCCTTTCTGGGGAGGTGGGACACTGCATCACAGCCTTGCACACTCCTTGCAGGGTGACAGTGGAGGCAGGTAGAAGGTGAACATTTCAGGAGATGAAAATAAAGAAAATAAATGTCTGTTGGGCAGAGGCAGAGATGGACAAAGAGACATCAGAGCTGGCTGCCTGTTCTATGCCATACCCAGGGACACCAGGACTTTGGCCCCTATGTCCACCCTCCTCTACCATCCCCCTGCCCAGGGATGATGACTGGTGGTTTTGACTTTTTGTGGAGACCACGTCACCAGTGCAGTGTGGCCACCATGGCTCGGAGCTCAGCCAGCTTTTGTCCCCCACCACTCCTACACAGGTGCCATTGAGCACTTTGGGAGGCCACCAGTCACGAAGAGCTTCTGGGGACACAGCTATGGCCAGGGCTGGCTCAGCCCTGATGGGCGGGAGCAGCAGGGTCATGGACAGCGCACTCCTACTCAACATTGTACATGGTTTGGTCCAATCAGGTCAGAGCTTGTGCCAAAAATGGCTTTTAGCCTATATTCAGGATGTGACTTGGATGTCACCTCAGCAGTGACAGGCCTGGTTCAGTGACAGCTTTTGGGGGAGGAGAAGTGTGAGAAGGAGTGGAGCTCACAGGGACAAGGAGAAAAGTCATCCCCAGCTCTGGGATGCTGCAGGGTTGATTTTCCGTGACTGAATGAGAATCAGAGCAGGCACCAAGAACTCTGTCAGGGTAATGGATGGCCACAGGACTGAGCACTGAGGAATGGCCATGGGGACCCAGAGCTGAGGGATGGCTGCCCACCACCCGTTAACAGCAGCATTAACAGCTCCTTTTTAACAAATCCTATCTTGGCACCAGTTGATCCAGTCTGGCCAAATCCAGGCTACCTTGCCCTGCAAGAAGCTTCCCAAGCCCACAAGGTGGAGGCAGAAAGCCAGGGCCTGTCCTTGGCCGTGTTAAGATGTGATAAATCCTGACCCAGGGCAGCAGGCAGGTCCCAGAGAATCCTCATGCCCAGCTCATGGCCTTTTCTGCCCACTGCTTGAACCTCCCAAGCTGGAGGGAGAGGTCAGAAAGGGGGGAGAATTTCTGCTGTGGTTTGCTGATTGATTGCCATGGAATCACCACCATCCTCAAGCACTGAGCACTGCTTTCTGCAAGGATTGGGCTTTGCTCAGTGGGGATTTATCCACATGATTACAAGCAGGATTTAGTGCACCTCAGTGTCCATCTCACTGGCAGAGGGGAGAACGTGAGGCTTCAGATTTGCAAATTGTCCATTTCTACACATGCAACCTGCAATTCCTGAGCAACTCATTTGGATGGGGCTGGCACATGTGAGAGCCATTTCCAGCTGGAGGGGGGGACTTAGAACAAGAGGCAGAAGGGAAACTAATTGTCTTATGTCTGCTTGGGAAGTGGAATTCAGCACCAGTCCTGGTCCTTGGGGTCCATTTAAGCCCTGCCTGATGGAGACAGCAATTCCTGTGGAGGGATATTTACTAAACTGGAAACTTTGATTTGAGCTATTTAACTTGAAGAGTTGTTAGGATGATGCTAATGAGAATTGCAGCAGGGCCCTGAGACTTAATTTGTTAATGTCTTCACAACCCTTGGGAAATGACACATTCTGACAACACAAGCCCAGCAGTCCCCCAGCGCATGGCTCGTCAGGAGATCTGCTGGGTGCATGCACAGGTACTGCCTCATGCCTGTGTGCAGCATCCCTCCTCCAAAACACGGCCCACCATGGGCTCTCCTCCTCTCCTGGGTCACCAGTCCCTTAATCTCTGTTTTAAAGATGATATGTAGCTGGACAGTGATGTCACCAGGGTGCCAGCACTCTCCAGGCATGTGCACTGAGCTGGAAAAGTCTCTGCCACAGCAGTGGTGTGGAGGGTGGAGGCACACAGGGGTAATGCTGTCCAGACTCAGGGGGTGCAGGTGGTGCAAACTCTCATCCCAGGACATGGAACACCTGAGCCTCACAGAGCTCTCCTGTCCTGCCCTCTTATTGTGGCAGCAGCTCACTGGCCACAGAGAGAAACACAACTTTCCCAGGCATCATTCTGGGAAAGGCTGTGAGAAGATCAGAGAAAAGGATGAGAAACAATTCTTATCTTAACTTGCGGCACCTGGTATTGTTAATATGTGGAATGTGTTATGGAGATTTGTTTACCATAGGGTGGTTTCTTAACTAGCCAATGGTGATGGACCAATTAGGTCCACCTGTAGCGAACTAGGGTATAAAAAAAGCAATGAGTTTCTTAATAAAGAATAATTGATTAGCCTTCTGTAAATGCATGTAGTCTATGCTAATTATTACCTGGCCGGGGGCCTCCTTGTGCTGACATCTTATCACCATGGTTTTACCCATCTTCCTTCAAGCCCCCAGTGCAGGGTGATATCCCTGGGAATTCAGGCCCATTGTGATGCTCCAACTTGATAGTCTAGGTATCCATCAAAAATTCCTGTCACTGAGCCCCTGATTTTAGCTGGGACTGGGACACAGGGGCACAGCTGAATACTCCATCAGAAAGCAGTGAAGCATCACAGTAGCAGTGAAGGAATATCAGGCTGGACTTGAGGTCAACATGGTGCATTCAGGAAATCAGGTCAGCTGCACCTCCAAACATCTGTAAGCCAGGAAAGTCTCAGATGAGGCTTGAAAAGGAACGCAGTGAGGATCAGCATCCCTTGTCTGGCACGGATAGGTGCTGTCCCAAAGGTTCCCAGCCCATGCACTGACTCAGACCACGGATTTCTCTTGCTGACAATTTCATCTCCCTACGGTCTGTGTGCAGCTGCTTCTTGCCCTGTTACAAAGTCCATCAGGGAGGGACAAGGTCATTTCATCCACCAGGGCAAAGCATTTCCTGCACCTGCAGAACTGTTTCCCTGGGGAGGGAAAGGAAGAATCTGAGAAGATGGGAAAGCCTCTTCCTAATTAATAATGAGGCTTTTCCAAAGGAGCTCAGCAGAAAGCTCTGAAGCAGAGCAAGCTCGGAGCACTCAAAGTTTTGCCATTCGTAGCTTTCAAGCCTGGATCAGCCCAAGGAGTTGCCACCCAGTTGCTCACATCCCACTCTGGTCCTGGCTGCATGATCCACTCCTTTAAGCTTGTTATCATGATGAATTCTTATCCTCAATCCTCTGTGTGTCTGTGTGTTCAGGAGAGAGAGGGGAGCACAGAAAATTCCTTGTCAGGAAAGAAATGTTTCATGCCAGTGCCAGTTCACCTAAAGCACAGAAAAATTACACAAAAGCTAAGCAGAAAAAAAAAAAGAAATGTCTGTGGGTTTTTAACTGAAAGCTTTTTCAAGGGGGAAAGGGAGTGTAGATTTGCATTAAATAAGGCAAATCTGATTGTTCCAGATACAGCACAATCCTTAGGCTAAGAAGCAGTGAGTGATGAGAACATATCCTTCACAGGCACTATCAGATAAGTTTGGTAACACCTTTCATAGCAGGTGACAATTTGACCAAGAGCCTTTCCACCCACTCCAGCTCAGTTCCCAAAGCGCTGACACTGCTCCAGCAGCCCACGTGCCACTGCTCTTTCATTCACTCACTGACTCCCCTGGGGCGAGTCTGGAATTTAAATTCATAAAGGTCAAATTAACATCAGCGACTCTTTTCAGTCTCATTGGCATCTCTCCCACCAAGGCAGAAATATTAATAAGGAGCTGAGCAAGGGTTAAAGATGCAGCAATGAGTCTAGGCAGGGACTTGAGGGAGAGACATGGTACTGGGTAGTTTTGGGAAACAAAACTCTCATTTACATGGAAAATCCTGGTGGATTTAAATATATACTAGTGTCAGAAAGGCCATTCTGCTCCATCATCTGGGAAACAGGAATGTCAACAGCAACTCACTAATATTCATAGATTTTACTGTAGTGGAAGAGGGAAGACGAAGAGGTTTTCCAGTAGGAAACTGTCCTGGCACATCCCAGTGTCAGTAGCAGCTACAGCAGTTAAACTGTACTTTGGACTGGATGCAGTGAAGTCACTGCCAGAGACTGTTCAGTTGTAGCCAAACTAGAAGGCTCTGCTGGGAAAACTGCCAGGGAAGGATTTTGATGTTTCACTCACCCACCACCAGATCCCAGCCAACCCCAGGGAATAAAGAACCTCCTGCCACAATTAGTTATAAAACAACTCCAAACACTCTGTGGTTCATGTCAGGAGAACAAGATAAGCCCCAAACACAACCCACTGCACTATATACATTATATACATATGTATACACACACACATATATATGCTGTAAATCTGTACATGGATCATCATAAGTGACAGATGCATCAGATACCAACAGCACAAGCTAGGTTTGGTGCCTTTTATTTATTCTTCTCCAGAGCAGCAGCAAAGACACGAGGGGATAGTCAGTGACGGTGAATAGCAACAAGTCAAAAATTCATTACAACGGCCCATAGCTATCATAATGTTTAATTAGCCTGGATAATTATTTTACATTGAGGATCATGGAACTTGAATGCTTGGGAGGATTGCTGGGGATTTTTTAAGGACTGGAGTCTTACAAAGGTAAATAGAAGCCCCCAGTGCCACTGAAAGCAGTGCTGGAGGTAGAGTTTAAGCAAGGATCTACTTTGAGGCAGACACAGCTGCTCCCAGCCATCCTGAGCACCGACCCCTGCTCACAGTGAAGTCAAACAGCTCCACCACCCCAATTTCTACCCCATGTTAATACAAATTGTCCCCCAGTGCCATTTCCTTCAATGCCTCAAGGCGCTACTCAAGCATTTAAGATCTGAGTGACCCTGCAGCTCGACCCAGCCACCCCTCCCTGGCACTTCAGCACCTGGAAGTAAAAGCATCCCCCAAAGGCCCCTGTTTTGGGGCAATAAGGCATGAAATGGGTCTTTCTTCTTCACCACTCTGCTGGAGCTGCCTGGGAGGGACAAAGAGATTTTTGTGCAATTTCGCAGTTGATGCATCAGACATCACAGAGAGTTGTATTTTGATTAGATGTTGAGATGAAGCCCTGATTGCCAAATGCAAATATTGCAGCAGAGACACTGGGGACACTCTCAGGAAGCCAGAGGCTGCAGGCAGCAGCGGCAATGCGGTCACAGAGGACATCAGGGCTGGATAGAGATAACTGTGGTTGAAGAAGAGCTCAGGACAGGTAGTGATATGAGTTAACAACTTTCACCTGTTAGACTCTTGAGACACCCTAGATAAATAACCCCATCATTCCCAGCCACGGGAATGAGCCTGTAGTTCAGATTTCCATAATCTTTCCTGCCTTTTGCATTGTAGAAGGGGACAGAGGTTTCACCCTTTCACCCCTCACAGTGTCTGTGCATAGCAGCAAACTGGGATGTTGTGTTGGTGCACAGTTCTGCCCAGTGTAAAGCAGGATGTGTTTACCAGCACAGTTATGTGTTTTGCTTTACTCCTCTTCAGAGCATCCCAGCAATGGCTTGATGGTATGATAATACTTCAGACCTCCTGAAACCAGCTCAAGAGCACTGTGGCCACACGTCTGGTACTGCTGGACCAGCATAAATATGCTCCATCGTCCATTTGGTCAAAATCTTTTGGCAGATTAGCTGGGAGTGGAGAGCTTTACCATACCAGGTGCCACACGGTTCCATGGCTTTAGCTCAGAGCCATCTTGAAGGTCTCTGAGAGTGGTGGGAGCAGGCTGGAGAAGGATGTTTTCTTGAAACAGATGGGATATTGCTACAGTTATCCTGAGATAGTTATTGTGATATAGTTGTCTCAGTGTAAGTCCCTGGACAGACACTTTTTTCTTCAGAAGAAGCTTTATATTGCTTCAGAGCAGCACAATGCAAAGGCAATGGGTGAGAAGGGATTGGAGCAACTTCCCCTGTGCCTCATTCCCTGCCTCAAAGTAGGACCTGCTCCTTCCTCCTCCAAACACCATGTTTCTGTGGGGAAAGAAGCCAAATTAGGGGAATTGAGTGCAGGTAGGAAATTCACTGACCTTTCGTGCTGTAAATCTGCAAAGACCAAACCTGTGCTGCCAATGGAGCTGAGAAGCCGGAGCACTCGTGTGCAGAATCTGGAGAATAGTTCCCCTGCAAACACGGATGGGCCATCGAGCAGGCAGGGAAGCATTCAGTACTGATACATACCATTTCCATGCTAAACAGTGCTCAATGCTGGGAGCCAGGTGCCACTCCAGGAGCTGGAGCAGGAAGTTGTGCTGGGCAAAAGGGATGTTGCCGCCCTCGTGGCACTCTTTGTCTTCACTGTTTTACTTATCACTTCCCCATCAGGAGAGGTTTTTTCTCTCTTTTCTGTATGCTGGAGAGAGCAGAAAGAGCAGCATCTGCTTTCTGCTGCTTTTCTTCATCAAGCCTTTCTCAGTGTGAGCCTGGGAAAAATATTACAGCCACCCACTGGATGAAAACCTGGTGGGACAGAGCTCAAATGCTGCCGGTGGCAGCACAGGGGTGAAGCACAGGGAGAGGTCCAGGAGCATCTGACAGCCTGGCTGAGCATCTCCTCATCTGACTGCAGCCCCAGACCCCAATGTCACCCCACAGCACCACCCTGACCCATGGAACGCGGAGGGCTGAGCTCCTGGTGATGCTGGTGCACCGTCCCTCTGGTGGGACTGGTGGGACCCACCGGGTTTGGTGTCTGGTGGGATTCTGTCATGCTCTAACGGGAGTGCCAAGCAGCATCCCACCAAGTGCCTTGGAGAAGGGTGGAGATATTAAATCCAGCCTCAAGCAGACATATCACAGAATGATGTACCTCTGTCTGGCTACATCATTTCCATGAGTCTCTCTGGGGTTGGTTATTAATGGCATTGCTGTGTGTTTGTTTTACTGGTGGAGAGTATCATCATTGTTGCTCTCTGGCCCTGCTGACTTTTAATTACTCACTCTTCCTGTTTGTCCTCCCTGGGCAATCTCTGCCTGTCCCCCAGAACAGACCCTGAAATGCAGGAGGGAAACTGAGGCAAAAGACTATGCAAAGAAAATGGAGCTTGTGCCCAGCCCTACCAGTCCCCATGAGGGGTTGTGATAGCTGCATGAGCTCCCATGGCCATTAGTACTGTGCAAGCCCCATTTTCCTGTGCTGCATTGTTCCAAGTGAAGCTTTTCCTGTTCCAGACATTCACGCAGCTTCTCACCTCAGTGGCTAACAGGAAGAGCACTTGCAATTTAACTTTCTCCTTAGTTCAAGTAATTACTGGTTGTTTTTTCCTTACAAGGATGAATGTTATCATAACATTTTTAATTGTGACCCTCTATTTCTCTGTCAAATTTGGGTCTAAACAACAAAGGAGCTCAATAAATTCAAATGGATGCAGAAAGACACAGACACACATGTGATAAAAGGCACCTTGTTTCCTACAAAACACAGGCTTAAAATAGTTAACATAAAGGGAAGGTTGCCACAGCAACCCTACACATTAGCAAAGCTAAAAACAAAGGTCATTGTTAAAATTAATTTCTCCCTACAAGCTATGGGAGGCAGAAGGTAACACTCACCATGCTCTGATGCTTCCCCAGCTCACATGCTTGGAAGCTGTTTTCCCTTGCTAAGATATTTGAAGACACCAAAAGCCCTGAAATTTTTTTTCTGAGAACAACACAAAATAACAAGGAGCCAATTTTTCAGATAATCGATGAAAACAGATATTTCTCTATAAAAACCTTCTTCTTCATCATCATCAACAGTATTTTGCTTTTTTTCCTTCGGTCATTCTTCAGCCAGCTCCATCCATAGGAATTTTTGGGAAAGGCGCTTGCACCCAAGGAGCTGTGAATTGGGGTGTTTTGTATTAGGAACTGGCAATTTCTGTCTCTGTACCAGCAGCACAAACATCTCTGGTACCCAGGAGTGTTTTGGAGTGAACTGTGCCTCTTCCAGCATCTCCTGCTCACCCATTTCCTGCTTATCTTAGATTATAGTATATAGATATTGTAGCCATTGTGCTTCCGACCTCGCTGTGAGATGAAGCAGGGACATATTTAGCTACGGTACATGTTGTTCTAAATATACACAAATTATACATTAAAAAGTCTGCAATCTGGCCTACCTAATGCCTACGTTAGCACACTTGGGTAGCTGGGAAAAACACACAAATCTTTGAAATCTAAAATAGCAGCAGCTTTGGAGTTTTCTACTCGGGAAAGACTGGAAGAGACCAACGGGAATGGCTGGGAAGGACATTTTGCAGCCAGGAGGTGTTTGGAGAGACTTAGAACCAGAATGGACTCACCACTGAGGAAGAGCAAGTCTGGCTTACTGCCTGTTGTGGGGCTGGATGCCAGCATCACAGCTGAAGGAAGGAGCAGGGCTGGGAAACCAGAGCCAGGGGACTTGGAAGCCCGGTCTAAAACTAGGTTTGTGCCAGAACTGAGCTTAGACAGTAGTTTACTGGCTTAGCCAGTAGTTTTAGACAGGACCAGAGTAACAGTTATTGGAGGATATGAGGTTACAGTTATTAAAGTAGTTAAGGCTTGTGCTCACCAGAAGACCCTGTGGGAAAGGCACTGATGCAGGCCCCACGGTGGAACTGCCTTGAGGGGAGAGAGGCAGTTATGAGTGAGGAGAGAGTCAGCTGAGTGACAGCTGGAAGTGAGGTTGTGATTGGCTGGAGGAATGCGTGGACAGTGTATGAGCGGGAGCTGATTGGCTGAAGGAATGCATGGACAGTGTAGGAGCAGGAAGCTGATTGGATGGTAGGATGCGTGGACAGTGTATGAGCAGGAAGCTGATTGGATGGTAGGATGCGTGGACAGCAGCATGGCAGCTGAACCAGTCAATGGGTGTGCTCTTTCTGTTAAGTTCTGTTAGGCCTCGGTTTGGTTTCAGTGTCGGGTTGAAATTAAAGGTATAAAAAGGAGCCGATTTTTAAAATAAGGCGTGTCTGTGTCCATTCCCACTGCTACAAGTCATGGCCATGATGATTCAACCAGCCCTTGCAAGCCTTGCTCGGGCCCCGTTTGGTGTCTGCCATGAGGGTTTTCTGGGGGCTGAGCTTGGGGTGACCCATCAGCTGATGCAGCAGCCCCAGCTCTCCAGGTTAACCCTTGTAAGAAAGGGGCCAGCAGACCAGCTCCTGTGAAAAGGCCTTTGTTAAAGACAGCTCTGGGTGTGAGCCCCAGGGGTCGCACACTGCCGCTGCTCCTGCTGGATGATGCTGAGGAGGAGGTGCACAGCTCTGTCTCCTGGCAGAGCAGGGGCTTCCGTCCTCACCGGAGTCCCCAGGAAGGCGCTTGCTGGCTCATGGTCTAGGAGTGTCATTTAGACTGAGTGCTGTAAAATTATGGTGACAGGACGGAACCCAGCACTAGCTGATGGCGTATGATTTTCTGCGGTTCTGCTGGGCTAGAATTACAGTTTTTACTTTTTTGTTGTATGCTGGTTTGTTGTTGTGGGGGTCTGAATTGCACCAAAGGCCCCTCATTTGCATGTGGTTCATGTGCAAGTTCTTTTGGGAGCAGTGGAAGTGGTCCCCGACAGAAAGGGCCATTCCATTCCAGAAAGGAATACAAATACAGGATCTGCAAAACACGTCTTAACTTATCAAGGGATATTAACACTTAACAATGACAACAAAAGGTAAGTTTAGAATTTCAACATTTAACATTCAATAGCAAACTAACATTTTAATTAAGAGCTTATCAACACTTGATATTCAATAATAAACTAACACCTTAATCAAGAGTTCGTCTTTGGGGTTTTATTCTTTATATTCTGACCTTTCAACAGCCTGGAAGTGGCCCATGGTGGCCCACAAACCTGTGCTAACACCGTGCACTTTTCCTTGCAGGTCCCCAGTGCAACGCCTCAGTGGACCTGATCGGCACGTGCTGGCCCCGGAGCGCGGTGGGACAGCTGGTGGCCCGGCCCTGCCCCGAGTACTTCTATGGCGTGCGGTACAACACCACCAGTAAGAGGGGCAGCACTGCTGGGACACGGCGGGCGAGGGTTCTGGACACGAGTGACACTGCACCTCTGGGCACAAAGCTCATCAGCCATAAAGAAAACAGTGCCAAAGGCCAGATTTCAGGGAGGGTCGTTTCAGAGAAGCAGCTTTATAAGCAGGTCCTGGGAGGAGGAGAGGGCTGATGTCCCCATCTTGGGGACACAGGCAGAGAAGTAATCCTGCCCTGCCCTTGGAGGTGGTACAGGGGCCTGAAGCTTCCAGCTGAGCAAAGACTGGGGGACTTTGAACGTCCTCCCCTCCTGGCGCAGGTGGTTGCACTGTCACTGCCAGGGACGTGCTGGGAGTAGAGGATGTAGTGATATGAAAAGTGCCCAAAGTCGTTCCTAGCATAAGGCTGAGTTTCTGAGCACCCAAGTGCTGCTTTTGATGAAAGAAATACCTTGCTTCTCACAAAAAACATAGATTTTTCCACCCTGCACAGTCTTGCAGCCATGGAGGATGGCACAGACACACAGCTTCTTCTTTGTGGTGCCTCCTGTGCCGCTGTGGGAGCCTCTCTGCATTCATCACAACTTGAGCCTGTCTCTGAGCCCTTCCCACCCCATCACCCTGATGAGGCTCACAGCCTCCTGTTAATGGTAGCTCGGTCTCACCCCAGTGCTGGCATTGCCCCACTGCTGACACCAATGACAGACTCTCTGGGGTGCCTGGGCCATTCCTTCCCAGTCAGCCTTGACACCTCCTGTCCTTGCTGGGAGGCAAAAAAGCTCCTAATTCAGGGAGAGAAATGAAACTTCGTGCTGCCGTCGCAGCAGAGAGCCTGGGCTGGCACATGATCACCCCAGCAAAGAGCAGAGTGAAAGAGAAGAAGAACTGGCGCTGCTTCCACTGCATCCCTGTGTGTGGTGAGGAGGTGTTGGGGTCCCCCAGTGCCAAGGGCAGAGCTGGTGCAGACCCAAAGCCATTGAGTGGGTCTGAAATATTCCAAGGATTTTGGTTCTGCAGTTGTGACCAAGGCAGTAGCTGAGCTGCCTTCAAAGCAGAAGATGCCAGACCTGGCCTGATGCCAATGCCCTGAATTAGTGACAGTCAGGTCACATGCCTGTGCCTATCCCCATGCTCTGTTAACCCTTGAATGGGCATCCTCTCTTTCAGATAATGGGTACAGGGAATGCCTTGCGAACGGGAGCTGGGCAGCACGTGTCAACTACTCCCAGTGCCAGGAGATCCTCAGTGAAGAGGTAGGAGCTTGGAAGTCCCTGGGCTCTTGGCAGGAGGGTGAGAGACAGATGATGGAATTTTGAAAGGCATCCAGGCCAGGAATGGCCCATGGGAGCTGAGGGCTGAGCATGCAGCAGCATTCCAGTGATAATGTTGCACGTGGCAATTATGACCCCTTCTGGATTTGCATTTTTATTCCCCATCAGAAATAAAGCCATGCCTGTTTCCATCCCCATTAAAAATCCAAGAGGATTGGCAGGGTGAGGTCCCCAGGGTCTCTGGGTACAAATCACCCTGTCACTTTCCTGCAGCTCCCTCCTGACCATCAGTGAAAACCCCATCCTTCCCTGCTGGCAATGAAATAAAGGAGATATTTAGGAAGCTGAAAGAGATACAAAAATGGGGATCAAGCCCCTGAGTAGGTCAAGCCCCCAGTTGAAGCAGAGGAGAAGAGATATGAGTTATTCATTTGCAGTTGATATCAACTCTGGTATTTAACATGGTGATATCTCTTGCCAGGAATGTTTTTTTCACTCACTTAATTGCTTATTTACCCATTGGATGAGTGCCTAACAGCAGGAGTGATCAATTAATTCAATTATCACTCACACTTTCCTGTGCCCAAATTCATCCTAGCCTGTCAGTTGCCCCCAGGGCAATGGGGGATGAACTGAGATAAGATTCCAGTGAGCTCAACTGAGTTCCAGCAGGGTTTCCCCAGAGGAGGGGTTGGGATGTCACAGCATTGAGCTGCTCTGGTACAAGTGAGATGTGAAACCAGGCTGGTGCCTCTCCTCCCCACATGAACCCCATCTCCTTCCATTCCCACTGTCCTGTCCCAGGGTGAGCTCCAATTGCTTCCTGAAAAAGGGCCCAGAATTTGAGGTGCAGCTGCCAAGGTGATGTGGTGGAGGAGGTGGGTTTGTGCTAGTACCAGGGCTGCTGTTGACCCTCTGCCCATCTCCCCCACTCCCAGAAGAAGAGCAAGCTGCACTACCACATCGCTGTCATCATCAACTACCTGGGCCACTGTGTTTCGCTGGGGGCTCTCCTCGTGGCCTTTGTCCTCTTCATGCGCCTGCGGTGAGTGACAAACCTGCTGCCCTGCTCCTGTAAGGCCATCTCAGGCAGGGATGGACCCAGCTCCTGTGCTTTGCCATCTACTCTGCCATTGCCCTCCAGGCTGGAGGGATCATGCCTATCTCAGGGTTCTTTTTCTTTTGCTGATTTTTTAAAGCATCTAGTTATGGAGGCAGAGGGTCCTTCTTGGTGCCTTCCACCTCCTGGTCTTCCTGCCCACCTCACCCAGGGCTTGGTCCCAGCAGGTCACCCTTGAGGTCCCAACAGAGACACTCAGCTCCACAAACAGCACTGTCCCCAGTCCCCCTGCTCTGATGCTGCCTTGTTCCACCCCTCTCCAGGAGCATCCGGTGCCTGAGAAACATCATCCACTGGAACCTGATCACAGCCTTCATCCTACGCAACGCCACTTGGTTTGTGGTGCAGCTCACCATGAACCCAGAGGTGCACGAGAGCAATGTGGTAGGTGCAGCTCTTCCAGGCTGAGCCCAGTCCTGAGCAGTTGCGGGGTGTGAGGCCCTGGAGATCACAGAAACACAAAGTGGTTTGGGTCTGAAGGTACCTTAAGGATTATTTTGTTCCAACCCCACTGCTATGGGACACCTTCACTATCCCAGGTTGCTCCAAGCCCCATCCAACCTGGCCTTGGACACTTCCAGGGATGGAGCAGCCACAGCTTCTCTGGGTAGCCTGTTCCAGGGCCTCACCACCTTGCCAGGGAAGAATTTCTTCCCTAAGCCTACTCTCTTTCAGTTTGAAGTCTAACATGTGCCTACAAAAGCAACTTCAGAGAACAAATAGGGCTGGCTGGTGGCTGGCAGGCACCCCATGTGTATGAGAAGCATGGGTTTGATTGCTCTGCCGGGGTCTGTGCTGCTCCATGCATTGATTGCACCACTGTGACACAGAACTCGACAGGCTCCACATCTCCTGACAGGTTTGGTGCCGCTTGGTCACTGCTGCCTACAATTACTTCCATGTCACCAACTTTTTCTGGATGTTCGGCGAGGGTTGCTACCTGCACACGGCCATCGTGCTCACGTACTCCACGGACAAGCTCCGCAAGTGGATGTTCATCTGCATCGGCTGGTGTGAGTGCCAGGCCTCCCCTCACCCTGCACTGCCCAGGGTTCAGTGATGGGTGATGCCCCTCCAGCCTCTGCTCTAGTTCTTGCACACAAAGCTGCAAAAAGGGTGCCAGAAGCAGGAGGATGGGATTTGCATGGACACCTCATCTCACTGGGTGGTTTGTGTGTGGTGGTTTGCATGTGAGAAAACCCCTGTTACGGTGTGGTTTTGTGGTGACCTTGCACCTCTGAGACTCACCTGTGTGTTCCCCTGCAGGTATCCCCTTTCCCATCATCGTTGCCTGGGCCATTGGGAAGCTCTACTACGACAATGAGAAGTGAGCCTGATTGCTCTTATCCTCTGTTCTTTCTATCCCAAATCCTCAGGGATCAGTTGTGTCAGGAATTCTGTCAGGGAGGAAAAAAAGGATAATGTTCTTCCATTCTTTCTTTTATCCCATCTTTCACATCTCTGCAGCACAAGCCCTGCCCCTGCTGGTTTCTCCTCAAAAGGCAAATGTGATTTTTAAGGGGGAAAATATATTATACCAGATTTCCTACAATAGGTTTGCTAAAGGGAGCTGGGATTTAACCAGGAGAGATCTAAATTACCCCCACCTGAGCCATTTTCACAAACACCTGCTGATGAAAGACTTAACAGGTACCTGAGAGTTTATCCCAGAGTGGGAAGTTGAAAGGAGCCCGTTGAGATGAATGGCAGCTTGTTCTGTTTTCCAGAGGTAGTTTTCCCTGCTGACTGCAGAAGTCCTGTGCTACTCACATAGACACCTACTGAACAACCCTGACAAGGTGCTCCCAGGACAGGGCTACACCTGAGTGAACTCCTGCAGGGTTTGCTGAGGACAGAGCTGGCCCAGACCTGTGTGTGAGGTTATGGAGAATCATGGAATATCCTGAGCTGGAAGGAACCCACAAGGAACATCGAGTTTGAGTCCTGGCTCTGCAGAGACACCCCAACAATCCCACCCTGTGCATCCCTGAGAGCATTGCCCAGAAGCTCCTGGAGCTCTGGCAGCCTCGGGGCTGTAACCATTTCCTGGGGAGCCTGTTCAGTGCCCAAGAACCCTCTGGGGGAAGAACTTTTCCTGATATCCATCCCAAATTCCCCTGTGACACAACCTCAGGCCATTTCCTTGGGTCCTGCCCCTGTCACAGGGAGCAGAGATGGGGGCTGCCCCCGAGGAGGAGCTGCAGCCCTTGATGAAGTCTAAACTCAGTCACCTCTGCCCCAGCTGAACATTCCAAGTGTCCTCAGTTGCTTCTGATGTGGCTCCTCCAGACTGCTTCCCATCTTCATGTCCCTCCTTTGAATGATCTCTAATGGCTTCAGATCTTTCTTACATTGTTGTGCCCAAAACTGCCCCCAGGGTGCGAGGTGAGGCTGCCCCCATGCAGAACAGAGTGGGGACAGTCACCTCCTTTGTGAGGAGGGTGTCCCTGCTTGTCCTGCAATAACCAGCTCCCACATCCATATGCCCACACACACCTCCTTTTACTGAGTTCCCAGGGAAGCTATTTCACAATGGCTGCAGCAGTTTGAGTTTTAGTGCTTTCACCTCACAGACAGTGACTTACAGAGACTGTGCAAGGACAAGAGTCTATCCAGGTCACTCCCATGTCAGGCTTGTCCTTGCCTTGCAGGTGCTGGTTTGGGAAGCGAGCAGGTGTTTATACTGACTACATTTACCAAGGCCCCATGATCCTGGTGCTTCTGGTAAGAGCAAAGTGACCTTTTGTGTGCTAAATAGAGTCCTTCTGTGTGCAGGTGGGTCACAGCTGCTTCTGTACAGGGTATTGTCCCCTCCTTTAGCTTCACTCTGCTGGGGCTGTTCTGCTGTCCCACAGCAGCACTGCCCCTCACCCAAACTTCTCCTTGAGCAATTTTGGGTTTGGGGTGGGCTGCAGGGGGAGCCTGAAAACCTCACTCTGACAGGGGTGTCCCATCAGCAGACTCCAACATGCATCAGAAGGTCCCTCCATCCCTGCCATGGCACTGTTGGGGTGTGGGTGGATGCTTTGCCAAGCATTTGCAGAAGCCTGGGATCCTTGACTCCATTACCTGATCCTGATTCCATTTCTCTGTTCCTGGTCCCCAGCTGAGTAGCTGTGCTTGATCCAAGGGTCACATGGATGGGGCTTTGTCTTTTGGGAGTGGACAAAGAAGAGCAGAGGTGGCAGGTCACAATCCTCTGTTTGCAGAGGGAAAGCCATGCACAAAGTCCCAAAACTATTCCTTCCTCCTTGCACAATGGTGAGAAAACTCAAGGGAGTAAAAATCACTGGCATGATGGAATAATTGATCCTGCTTCCCATTTCTTAGCCCATTAGGCAGCCAGGCCACTACTAATTCCTGTCAATGGTGCTCAGCTCCAAAGACTCCTTCCCCTTCCCTCGTTAGCGATTCAGCAGCCAAGAGAGCGACCAGGCAGACCCTGGATGTGATGGCAGCCACTCTACCTTAGATTCTTCCTCTCCCTCTGCTTTTTCACCTTCAGCCATTTCTCTAGCACTTGTCCTTCCTTGGCAATCTCCTGGCATGCCCTGCTGCCCTGATCTCCTGACCAAACTCCTAAATTGTATTATTCAAGTGTTTTTTCAAAAGGAAGACATCCTCTCATGGTGCATGGAAGGAAGTAGATCAGGTTCAAGAGGAAATATTCCCATTTCCCCTGGCTCCCCCTTCCCTCCCCCATTTCAGAGGAAATGGGAGGAAATACTGAGGGAGCAGACACTAACCAGTGACCCTGTTTCTCCCAGATCAACTTCATCTTTCTGTTCAACATTGTCCGAATCCTCATGACTAAGCTCCGAGCTTCAACCACATCAGAGACAATCCAGTACAGGTAAGAGCATGAGTGACCCTTCCAGAAGTCAGCCTAGGAACTGGGCTCTCTCATGATTACTGGGGATGGGAACAGCCCCATTAGCCAGGTAGTAAGGGGATGGGAGCATGGAGAGACACCTAAGAGCATCTCAAATGCTCTTTGGAGGTGCATGGTCATTAAATCTGGCCAGGGAGAGCCTTGTGATGTAGAGTGTGGATGGCTGTTTCTGCCTTTGAAGTGAACTCTTGGGATTTGAGTCTCTTTGCAAAAGCCTGTTCTGGTGGGACCTGATGAGCTCTCCAGGCTGGGAGCTGCAAATCCTGGCATGGAGGTGAGAATTAAATCACTGCTTGACAGAAAAGCAAAAGCTGAGGAAGCTGATGAATCGATGCCACCCCCACACCTCCTTGTAAAGAAGATAGTACTCCCAACAGCACAAGGCAGGAAGATTTAACCCCTCCTTGCCTGTTGGGGAATATTTTGCAGTAAGAGGTGCATGGTCAGAGTAGCTTCCCAGAGTACCTGGAATAGAAGACACTTTGGGCTTCATCATTACCTCTGTCTGGATCATTTTGTGGGCAGGAATTGGGGAATCTCACTGTGTGCCAGGTCAAGAGAAGCTGTTTTGAGGTGGAGGGTGGCTTTTTCAGCTGAGAAAGGAAAAATTCTGGTTCTATTATTGGGAAAGCTACACCAGTGAATGTGCTGTACTGTAGTTTTCCAGCTCCTAACCTTGGTTCCCTTCAGCTCCTCCATGTCAACAGCTCATTTGTATCAGGGACTGTTCTCTCCTCTAAATCAGAGATGCAAAACAGGTCCCAGACTCCCTCCCCGCCCAGCTCAGACCCTCAAGGGATGACCATCTACTGTTGGAATATGTCCATTTACAGGGTTTTTAAGCAAAAAGTGACGACTTGGCATTGTTCTTGTCCCCTGATCCAAAGGAATGAGGTGCCAAGCCCAAATCCTTCCCACACTCTCTGTAGCAGCACTGACTTTTCACAAACTGTACTTGTAATCTCATCAAAATATCAAATTAATTACCTGAGATAAGGTTTTCACAAACTTGTGTTGAAGGGTGTGAATTATTATACTCTCCTTAATTCCTTTTTAATTGAGCTGTAGATCAGCCAAGCAATCACTCTATGCCAGCTCAAGGTCAGGCCTCTGCTCTCCATGGCCCTTTTCTGGGTGGAGAAGCAGAGCAAGGGCCCAGTGCTCAAACCAGCCCCGTCCCTTGGGAGCTGCACTGGAAAACAGCCCAACTTGGCTCCATCCTCCCCTAGTCACTGGTTTTCAGGTCCCATCCCAGCAGACCAGTCCAAGCCATGCTGCTGCTGGGAGTGGGATGGGCAGAGTCCTTGTGCCCAGGGCTGCACTGCAGCAGCTCAGGTCCCTGTTTTCTCCCTAGGAAAGCAGTCAAGGCTACACTGGTGCTGCTGCCCTTGCTGGGGATCACCTACATGCTGTTCTTTGTCAACCCTGGGGAGGATGAGATCTCCAGGATAGTCTTCATCTACTTCAACTCCTTTCTGGAGTCTTTCCAGGTAATGGTCCTCCACACTGGCTTCCATCCCAGTCCTCTCACCAAGGGATGTGGAGGAGCCCATCCTGGCTGATGCCTCATCCTGCTTCTGCCCCCTTCTGAAACCAGATATGCCCAAACCCCTGAGCTGTTCCAAAGCCCCTGGCTCAGGGGTACCTGTTTGCTGTGACTCTGCTGCTTGTCTCCTTCCAGGGCTTCTTCGTCTCTGTCTTCTACTGCTTCCTGAACAGTGAGGTGAGCGCAATGGGCTGGGGTTTTTTTTGGGGGGTCTACACCCTTCCTTGCAAGCAGACAAGTTCAGCATGAGGGTCTGCTGCTGCACAGGGCTTGGAGGGTGCTGGTCCCTAATTCCCCATCTGAAGCTCTTTGGTGATTGGAGTTGGTGCTTCACCTCCAGCCCCAGGTACATCTACAGCCCCAGATTTTGCCCAGACAAGAAAGGCTGCTGTCTGTCTCCTCCTCTGGAGGAGGAAAATCCACCTCCAAGAACAGATGCTCTCATGGTGCACCTGTGTGAATTGGTGCAGCATCGCCCAGGGTCCTCCCCATCCCAGGGAAATCCTTCCCCAGGATGAGCCCCATACACATGTGGATTGCACATGGATGAGGATATCTCCCAGGCTCTGACCCAAAACACAAACAGCAGAAAGCAAAGGACCTGAGAGTAGAAGGGAATCCTGGGGCCAGATATTTGGGCAGCTCTTTCCTCTGCCTCCTCCAAATGCTCCCACACCTTTGTTGACTCAGGAAAGTTTACCCTGCATGAACCTGTTTTGTTAGCAAATCACATCTCATTAATCCATTTTGGCTGGAGGACTGAGGAGAAGGATGGCTGGTGCCTCTGAACAGCCTCTGTGTGATGACCAAATGTTCCTCTTTGATCTCGCCCAGGTGCGATCGGCCGTACGGAAGCGGTGGCACCGGTGGCAGGACAAGCACTCCATCCGTGCCCGCGTGGCGAGGGCCATGTCCATCCCCACCTCCCCGACCCGTGTCAGCTTCCACAGCATCAAGCAATCCACGGCTGTCTGAGCCGGCAGCGAGAGGCCGCAGCGGGAGCCGACGTCCCCACTGTGGGGAGCCCCTGGGAGGGGGGCACGGCACAAGACCAGCTCCTGCCGGTGGCCCTGGCCCCACAAGGGGAGCATGAACTCGCTTGGTCGTGGGACACCTGCACAGCGCCTGCCCCATGTGCTGGGCAGGCCTGGAGGACAGGACAGCTGAGACGCTGCATTGTCATCTCCCTGGCAGCTGTGTGACCTGCTGGCATGGCAGAAAGAGCCAGAAGGACCTGGAGAGGTTGCAGCAGCTTTCTGCCAGCTCCATCCTGGGCATGATGTCTCGGGGTTTGGGCATGACTTATTGGGTTTGTCCGCTTTGAGGTGACAGGAAACCAGGACATTGCTGGGACAGTTTATGGGGCTAATTCCCTGGGAAGCTGGGTCAGCCTTCCAGTGAGCACATGCTAGAACGTTGCTGGTGTGGGGGGAACCCTCTAGAGGAGCCAAAGTCCTATGTGTTGGAAGGGGATGGATGGAGAGCCCTGGAGTGGTTGTTGTTTCATGTGGCTGTGTTTTTATAGCATTAGGATTGAGTCCTTCCCCTGTCTCTTGCTGTGTCTTCTGGTGTCCTGTAACTGCTGCTTGGTCTGACTAGGTCATTTCTCATCTTGTCACCAAAGGTGGGGTAAAGCAATGGGGTGGGAGAGGGGAGGTAACTCCCCCTCCCATGGGGATGGGTCCTAGGGGCTCTGAACAACCACACAGAGTTGGCTTGATCTGGAGGGAAGCACAGGAATTAGTTAAATTCTCTGGTTCAGCCCAGATGGATCCACAGGTCTCTGCAAAGCCCTGGACCTCAGGCTGACTCCATCCCTGCCCAGAGGGTGGAAAGGTGAGGCAGCCCTGCAGTGGAGCGGTGGCTGAGGTCCCCAAAGGCAGGTACCACAGGGACAGGCCCTGGCTCTGCCCCCTCCTCCTTGCCCTGCTTTTACCTGGGCAGGTGGGCCCAGTGCCAAAGCTGCTCCTTGCTCTTGTGCAGGGGATGGGACCAAACCATCCCCACGTTGGGGTTAAGTGCCTTGGAGGAGCAGCAGCCTCCTTTCCCTTCCTCCCTATCTCCCTCCCCAACCTGGGGACTCCAGATTGTCCCCTTGTTCCCCCTCTCTCATTGCCCTCTTCCATGTGGTCACCAAAAGCAGCTGAGCAGAAGAGTGGATTTTCCTTGACCTCTTTGGAGCCACCTTTTCCTTGTCCCATATAAGGTCTGGGGATGCCCAGGCGGAAGACAGATTACAGCAGGTTTATGGGCTGTCTGCCCTCTGCATCCCAGGGATTTTGCTACTGGGGCCATACAGGGTCTGGTATGAGCCCCTTCACACTTCTGTGCCTCAGTTTTCCCACTATAAAGAATAGGCATAAATGTTTTCTGCCATGGGGAGATTTAAGCATCTTTGAAATTGCAGTATTTTGTGATTTGTGAAAGGAATAAAATCTTGCATCTTTTTATTTAAAGAGAAGCATAGGGGAAAACCTCTGGGGTCTTTCTTCAAACATTTGTGAAATTCAGTAGTTTAGAGCAAATTCCTCCCACCTCCCTCCCATTTTGATTTTCTACCTTCATGTCTACAGTGCAGCAAAACTGGAAATATCCCATTGACTCAAATAATCTGCCAGGAACAGCAACAGTTCCCAATATGACACAGTGACCACAACAAGGACCATACCCTGCACACAGGGCACTTTTCAGTCTTTGTTCAGGTTCAGCCACTGCCAACAGTCCCCAAAACTGCCCCTTCTTCAAAATATGGGTGTGAAAAGACCCCTGGAGTTATGCAATGGGAAAAGTGGCAGCTTCCAGCTCCATGGACACTTTCTACTGGTGCCCTACAAGGAGTAGACTTGTGTCTTCTGTGTCTTGGTTTCTCTGTTGGGTACTTTGGCAGGAGCTAATAATGATCTGCTGGCAATGGAGAAGGGGAAATGCCCCAGGGAGCTTTTTTCCTCATCCCTGCAGGTGATGTTGCCAAAAAATTATGTCCTACATGTTCAATTTGGATTTTTCTAAAGTGGGGTCTTTGGTGGAAAGAAGCTGGAAATTGAAAAACCAAAGAAAGAAACCCAAACAGAAGCATCTGTGTTCACATCGCTGTTTTTCCCTTCTCCTCTTGGTGGTCTGCTCCAACTGATGTGACTTTGCTTTCCGTAGCTGGAGTGTGTATTCTCAGTCTTGTTTGATTAAAAATACTTCAATTCCTCTTACAAGGACTTTTGGAGCATGTTTATCTTTTGGAAAAGACAACCCTGGCATGGCCCCTCCCCAGTTTCCATGGGATCATCCTCACACTGCAGTGGGCTCAGCTGGTCCAGAGCTTTTTTGTCTCTTTTCTACCCCAACTCCATGTGCCCAGAGCATGGAGGGGGCTCTCCACAAAGGTATCTACACCATCTCATCCAAGAGAATCCCACACAGGTTTTCCAGACAAGTACCATCAGGTCTGGAGAAAGTCCTCCAGGTTTTCCCCCTTGCCAGGGTTAATTTTACAGAATAAAAATGTAATGTGCTTCACAGCAGGAGGGAGGGCCAATGAAACTTGACTTTCATTTCATACATCAATGTTTACAAGTGAAATTCAGACACAAACAGATTTCTGGTCAAGCTCTTCTGTTGCAGAATTAATTTGTTCATCACACAGAGCCTTGGAGAGCACTGTAATTTAGTAAGCACCATGCACATAAATAATAATTACAGGTTCCTGCTGATTACATGATTGTATTTAAACTTATCAAGTAACTCTGAGATTAATGACCTGCCAATCCAGTGCTCTTGACAAGGCTGAAGCCTCTTGGGATCTTTCTGTGTTAACCCTTTATGTTATCCTGGTACCTTTCAGGGCTGGGAAAAGCAAAATGGGACTCCAAGGATGAGATCTCGTGGTGCTATGGGATATCCCAGTGGGATGATGCACAGGAGCTTCTCCAGCACAGTGAGATGGATTTTTATTTAGCTTGTTTATTTGGTTGATACATTAAACCCACCATGGAGGTTGTCACCAGTCCTGGAGTCACTTCCCACCCTCAGCCCCACCACCTGGGACCAAAGTTTGGGTGCCCTGAGATATATCCCCAGCAAATCAAGGGCCAGCAATGGAGAAAACCTGCCCTACAGAGCCTGAATGGAGGCAGAGGGAAGTCATGATCCTGATTCCCTGTGGAGGATCTGTGCCTTCATTCTACCTTCCAACTAGGCTGCCCTGTGCAAATATCGCCACTGCCAGAGCCAGGACTTCCCAGTTCCATGGCATGTAAATCACAGGTTTATGGCTGGTATTTAAAGCAAAGCAGGACTGTCATTCCCCTTCCTCAAACAACACATATCTGTCTGGTGGTCCACAGCTTTGGACCATTCCTGGATATTGAACCCTGCTGTACCTTCCCAGGCAGGTAAGGACTCTGGAAAGGGTGGGAGGTTGGGAAGGAGAGGAAATCTTGTGGCAGTTTTACAGCCCAGTGGGTTCAGTTGTGGCTTTCATCACTGTCTGCCCCAAGATGCCTCTCATCTGTGTCCTTTGAGCACTGCTAAACTCCCAAATAAATATTTCATCCTTTGATTCCAATGCCCCCTCCTTCACTGCTCTCTCAGCACGAGCCTCACGCTGATATTTGTCACTACAGTCGCAGTTAAATGGGTCTCAGACACGTGGTGGTGGTAGGAGACAGGCAGCTCTGCCACCCTCATGAAAATTTCAAAGGGACATATTTTTCCAATTTGGAGGAAAACTAAAGATCAGAGACACAAGTGATTCCATGGGAGAGCTCATCTATTCAGCCACGGAGAGAATACTTGAGGAGCCCCTGGGCCATACTGAAGGCAGCAGAGGTGTGTGGTCACACACAGCCTGCTGAATGGGCACCTGCACAGAGCAGGGATGGGTTAATCCCACAACCAGGAATTCGTGTGCACATCCACAGCTGAGTCCATCCTCCCAGCTGGCACCCTCACCAGATGCATGTGGACCAAGGACTGTCCAGGTTTTCCAGGTTTGCTTGGAAATAGTTGCAGTCCCCAACCACCTGCTCCCAGGAGAGCCTCTGCAAACACCATGGCTGAGACCCCCGGCCCTGCCCTCCTCCCTGTCAGGCAGAATTTTCCATGGGAAAGTCACCTTTAGGCTGCTGAAATCTGTTTCTGATCCTCCTGCTTAGTGTGGAAACTGAGGCACAGATTTGCTATGGATTTTGGGAAATATTGAGCTCTGCTGGCTGAGCACCATCCTGACAGACACCTCTGCTGCAGAGCATCCTCTAGCCTCAGAGCATCCTCCATCCAGGTCTGAGACCTGTTTCAGGAGACATCAGTGTGAAGTGGGCTTGGGACCCTCCTCAGCAGCCCAGAGCCTCCTTCTGCCCCAAGGAAATGTCCCCACCACCCCACCCTGATGCAGCCAACCCCACCAAGCATGACTGCTGTCTGTTCTGAGCTTCCACTTCCAGCCAGCTGGCTGATGTATCCAGGTGCCCTGCCAGACCCTAATTTTGGGTGCAGCAAGAGAAGGGTTACAACTTCCCTCACTCAGCACAGTACCCACAGGCCCAGTACCCAGTGGGCCCAATGCAGATGCTTGAGATCCAGAGGTCCATGTCCTCTCCTGGTCCTTGGCTGCTTCATTTTCTGCCTCCCCATTTTTCATAGAGGCAAATCACCAAGGACCTGTCCCTGCCTGCCCTTCTCAGCACATGGTGTTGGTGACATGGCTGTCAAGGCCCAGCCAACAAAAAGTCTTTGGGATTTGTGTGTTGAGTGTGGCTGACCTCCAAACACGAGGTGTCAGAGCCCCTGGCTCAATCCCAAAGGATCTTCTTTGACTGCCAAGAACTATTAACATCTCTCTCCTTCCAGAAGGATGTCAGCTTTGTTTGGGATGAAACCAGCCTTTGGAAGAGCAGATGATCCAGTGATGCTGCAGCCAGTAGGGTCTCCTGACCTGTGCTTGCAGCTCTGGGCATGCCAGGTGAGGTCTTGGAGGGTGGATG